AAAAAATATTTCTCATAAATAAATAAATCAAACTCAAATTAAACTTTAGCTTGACTAACTCAAGAATTCTCACGAGTTTTACCAGCTGGACGGGCTTACTTGGGAGTGGTATCATAGTATTTGTCCGTTTCGCAAAGTAATCGAACATTTGGGCTCCACTCACCAATTTTCCATGCTTTCTCCCTTTCTGCTTTTCCTCCCATCATATACAACGCGCAAATTTTAGGAGGAGCTCGATCTGTTCCTGAAGCACCCAATAAGCGAAAACCTTTCTTGGATCTCTCTGGAATTGGGAAACTGAGTTAGTTTTTCTCTGGACAACGCTCAAGCCCCCATGTCGACTCCGGCGAGGAAGAGGTTGATGAGGGACTTTAAGCGGCTACAGCAGGACCCACCTGCCGGCATCAGTGGGGCGCCGCAAGACAACAACATCATGCTCTGGAACGCTGTGATTTTTGGGTTCGTCTTAATTTTCCCTGTTCTTTTTATTTTTATTTTTTTTAATTTGGTTTTTGATTTTCTGCTGATTTTTGCTTCTGGGTTTTGGGGTTTTGTAGGCCTGATGATACTCCTTGGGACGGCGGTGAGTCATTTTGATTCTTTCTTTCGTTTTTCGTTTTTTGTATTAAATATTTGGAATCTGGAATCTTCTGTATGTTAAGTTCTGCTGTGATGGTATTGATACATCTTTTTGGTGGCTTGTGGCATTTAGAAATCCTGGATTTTGTTTTTGGTGGTAAATCATTGTTTTGTGAGTTTTCTTTATCATTTTATATTTTGTTCTCTAATTCAAGCTGATTTACATATTTTTCTTGCAATTGCCATGTTAATTATGCATGCATCTGCAAATAGATATGTTCATATATACATCGTCTAGACTGGCAATTTCCTGCAAAGAGATATGATCATTATGCATGGATATGCATGCATCATATAACAACTTTGTTTAGCTGATTAAGATCAGATGTGCTTGATTTTGCTCCATTATTTCAAATATTGATAGTTTCTTTCCTTCATCTATTAAACATATGTTGGCATTTGAACTTTGTGGGTTTTCCATTGATGATTTTTTCTAATTCTATGGTCTGCACATCTATTTATTATTGTTTTTTGGTACATTGAATTATGGGCTATGCAATAGGGGATAGCCCTCCTTTTCCCCAACCCCTCCCTATGCATTGAACTTTAGATCTCTAACATGGAAATTCAAGCTCTTAACCACTGGGTCATCTCCTAGGGGACTAGTCTGGACATTTATGCTTGTTCCTCTAACTTTTTCAACTCATATTTTATTAACGGCTGAATTCTGTGGCACTTCGTAATCGGTGGGTCTAATATGGGAAATTCCCTGGTTGAGTTTCTTTGTTACATTATCATGGGATCCAGGAAGAAGTTGATGGAATTATCTTCTTAAGACTGATAAGGTTTTTGTTTACAAGGCTTTATGGGGGGCTTGGTAAAATATGGTTAAAGAGTTTTTATACAGCTAATTATAATTGTGATGACATGGTTTTGATTAGGTGTTATGATGAACAGCAATCAGAAGGGTATTCACGTGGGACTGCAGTTAAATGGTTGTTTTTGTTTTCAACGATTTCTGCTAAATAATGTTTGAGGGTTAGGGCATTCATGTGCTACTTCATTCTGTTAATTCCTATGCCTTAATGGATTTTAGTTATTATTTGTGAGCCTTAATGCTAATGTTTTCACAAGTATTTGATAAATACTATTTTAAAACTTGAATACAAAATTTAATATTAAAAAGCATAAACAACCTTTTAGAGTATATGCCTTGATTCACTGGTTTAGGCTGACTTATTGTCTTTGAAATGCAGTGGAAAATATTATCTTACAGTTTCGACTGTCAATCCTTATTTTTTATTTTGTTGAAGTTCTGTTGGGATGTGTTGAATAAGTTTGCTAGGTCCTTGTTTCCGAAATAACTTTACTTATAAGTCTTTTTGCTATCTAACTTGAAATGATTTTCCAATGAGACCTGTTGGATACAAAAGTGAAATCAAGAATCTCAGTTTAGTTGTGTGCCTCACTATGCCTATTTAAAGTTTGCAATTCATGTTCAATTCATTGCTTATATGGTGAAATTTGTCTATTTTTGTCTAGATTTCTAAATTTTAATTTTTCTGGAGTTATGACATCTTATAGAGAGTTCTGTTTAAAAGTGTGAAATTGCAAATGGTAGAATTTGTGGAAAACTTGTGTTGTAACAAAATATTGTTGCTTTGCCCATTATTTTTTTCTCTTGGTTTTGTATTTCTTAATTTCCATTTCGTGGCTTATTCTTTTTGTATGCTATAACTTTTCCCTTTATAACATGTGAGAATTATCCTTGGCTTTCTCAGGTACGTTCAAGCTGACTCTGCAATTCACAGAGGATTATCCAAATAAACCTCCAACAGTCCGCTTTGTCTCACGAATGTTTCATCCAAATAGTATGTAAATCTTCAAAAATTTTGCTTTTGATCTTCATGAAAATTGATTATTATCTATATCTTTTCTTGACACCTGCTGATAATTCATGGTTTGATCAGTCTATGCGGATGGAAGTATTTGTTTGGATATTTTACAAAATCAGTGGAGTCCTATATATGATGTTGCAGCTATTCTCACCTCTATCCAGGTAAAATATTTTATGCCTTTCACTATATGAACTTTTATTTTAAGCAATGGCTTCCTCAAATGTGTTGTTCACATCCTTAAGTTGAAAAGGGTAACTTAATGATTGAAAGCTGCAAAGTAATTTCCTTATCCAAGTTTTTTTCCCCTTGCTAACTTATTTCTTCTCCCACAAAGTGTATGAAGTTGAAATGTGCTGTTCACTAGGTTTTTGGAGACATCTCCCACTGTAGCTGCGTTGCATGTAGTCATTATATTTCTCATGCATGTCTTAACATCATACCATGGATTCTAGGAATGATGTACTCAGAATTGGTGTTCCATGGCCATGCCTCATTAAGTCATTGTTTGAGTGATGCAAACATGTGCCCTGGTTTCTACATGTTAGCCTTTGATTGCATGCTACTAATTTCTTTTTTTACTCATCTTTTTAGCAATTATTTCACTGTAATGATTACACAGATTTTGTTTTGCTTAAACTTGTTTTTTGTATCATGGATGATAGTATACATTTGTAATTAAGGACCTAGGTGCTTTGATGGGATGGAAATCAATCATGTGCTAGTAAGAGATTTGATGTTTTGTGGAATTAATCAGTGGGGTTGATGTTGTTAAAGATGGAGTTTTTACTTTCTGCTTTGTTTGCTTGCACTCATTTGTGTTAAAATATTCTCAAACCATTCTACAGTGAAATTAATTCATGGGATGAGAATACTTCTTTTGAGAATTAGGTAATAAAAATGAGTGTAAGGAAACCAATATCAAAACAGAAATTATCACTTCGATCTTTAACAATGTTAACTCAGTACTTAATTCCACAAAATATAAAATTTTTTACTAACATGTGAGTGACTTCCATCTCTACAAATATGCATGTATACACATCATCCGTGATATAAAACCTAGCTTAAGCAAAATATGACTTGAGTAATCATTAAAATATCAATAATTGCTTGAAAGACGACTGAACAGAGAAATTTAGCAACATGTAAGTAAAGGTTACCACATAAGAGCCAAGCCAGATGGGGTCACTCAAACAGTGACTCAATGAGGAGACATGGCCATGGAGCACCAACTCTGGCATTCTCTTGGCTTGAATTTAGGGGAAGGGATGATATGTAATATTGCCAATCCTTTTATCATAAGTTACTTTAATATCTTTGTTGCTTTACACCTTAAGATCCAAGGTGCTCGGGAGAATTAATGATGCCATTTCAGTGTCAATGACATGTTCTTGTTTTGCCAGTCCCTACTTTGCGATCCAAACCCAAACTCACCTGCAAACTCAGAAGCAGCTCGTATGTTCAGTGAGAATAAGCGAGAATACAATCGAAGAGTTCGAGAAATTGTGGAGCAGAGCTGGACTGCTGACTGAACGTGATAAAAACGCCACTTACCATATCATGCTGTGAAGATATAAAGACTGTTGGTGGTGCAGGTATATGTTGTAGGGTGTTCGTGTTGGGGATCCATGTACTCTATAATCTGCTTTTGCATGCATTGTTCCTTGAAGATTTCTTTGAATGACTTCTGTCTCCAAGACAGCTACACTCTTGTCAATTTCTCAATGTTTTATCTTATTTTTTTCAGCTTCCATGTAACTGTCAATTTCTCTTTGTGATATCTGTATAGGAATGTCATTGTAATAGTCATGTCATAGTGCTCTTAGCGCCGTGATTGGTGGAGCAGTCCATTGTAATTTGGTGGGATTTTGAATACTGTGAGTAGCTGCTAGGGACTCTTGTTTTGCTGGACTCGTTGGGATTTACTGGTTTTTTTGCATGCCATCTGGTTTCTAGACTTAACCTCATTCCTTATTGCAAGGAGTTCTTCATGCTATACAGAAAACGTTCTTCATGGCAGAAAAAATTGCCAGTCTTCATTAAAAGAAGAAAAAAGAAAGCGAAAAGAAAAAGGAAAAGTTGCCAATTGGTAGAAAATTACTTTTTTTTTAAAAAGTAAATTAAAGGGTAGTTGTTTGGTATTACAAAAGTTTGAAATTTTGATTTTGATTTTAAATCAAGATTTTTAAGTTAATGAGTTTTACTTTAGCTAAGTTTTTGTTTGTAGAAAATTACATATATGCCTTTAATGAGATGGTAATGATTAGGAAGTGAATTTACTCATTTTCAATTTGAAAATGCTAAAATTTCATTAGGGCATAAATATAATTATCAGCCCAAATAGACTAAAAATCATATGGTTAAAAGTTTGAGATTTCAAGTTAAAGTTTTTAAATTCAAACTTTAAGATGAGTGGAGAAGTAATTAAGGGAAGGGATGGTTATCTTTGTTGTATGGATCATCTAATATACTAAAAAAAAATTGTGAATATTTAATGTTGCCGGCAATTATCATGTGCAAACTTTTCTTTTGTGGAATGTGACTGTCATTTCCACTTTCCAGTGCAAATGCCCATGAAGAGATTTTTGCTGTACTGTGAGAAACCACAGCATTTTCTTCTATTTAAGTGCTGGCAATTTTTCCTTCTCCACAGAGGTTATCAGAGGGATGACAATATTCTTTGCTTCTGCTATTTCATATTCTCTTGCTTAATAATCCCCAAATTTGGAAGTTGAAACATGATCGTCTGATTTCCACTTATTTCCATTTTTGTTCTGTCCAGACCAGATTCCAGATTGATTATTCAGATGAATCTCATGTTCCCAGCTATAGAATCAACTTCAGACTTCAGAGCATGTTTGGTCCAGCTATAGTAAAAGTGTTTTCTTGAGTAAATCTTTTGCAGAAGTGCTAAATAATGAATTTACATAAAATAAGTCGTAAAAAATTTTAGAAATCAAGTATTATCGAATTTTAGAAGCTTATATATTAACAATAAAAGATCTAGTTTACAAGTAACATGTTTGGTGCTTAGCTTCCAATCCTTTAAAAGTGAGAAAATATAACTTTGTGATTTATTTATTTATTTATTTTAAGAGATAAGCATTTTAGGTTTTTAAATTAGATTGTAAACTTTTATTTTTTATTTTTCATTTAAGAAGATAAATTTTTTATTTTTTTCTTTTAAAGATATAAATTTTATCTATTTCAATTAAGATTATCATTTGTTATGTTATTATCAATATCAAATAAATCTTTAAATAAAAAAGTAAAATTTATATTCTTATTTAGAGACAAATTTAAAAATAGCTTTAAAACAATTATAAGCCCTTCAAAAAAAAAAACTGTGCATGATTCAGCTTTAAATATTAAGGCAAATATCTTTTCAGAAGTTGAACTAAATAGAAACTTATCCGTATGTGATAAATGATGATCCAACGCCAAACATTTAAAGCCAAAAATTTTAGAGCAACTGATTATTTTTCCCTCAGTAATAAAGTTTAAAAGACTTATGAGCTTTTCTTTCCTGCAAAACATGTACAGCAGTTTCATTTCTGCAACTTTCAACAGCAGTGGAATTTGACAACGAAAATGGTGAAGGGCTAGACAAGGGATGACCTGAAAAACTTTAGCACGTACAGCGTGTATGCTTGTTGGGAGTGATGGAGAACCAACATAAAGTTTTTTCCTCCTTGTTACTACTACTGCCTCAGAAACCTAATGGAAGGCAACGTGCATACGTGCAGGTTGGGAAGGAGAGACTGGAGATCCTTCACTGCTTTGGGAGTCACCTCTCCATGCATCCTGAACTTGAGCAGCAAACTGCAAGTTCCACAGAACATCCTCAACAGAGGGTCTCTCTGCAGGGTCCTTGAGTAGACACCTGACACAGATTTCCATCATTGTCTTCAAGGATTGATCTGAGCATGCTTTCTGAACTGCTGGATCAACAATGTTTCTTCGAGCTGAATCATCTGCTGCTATACTTGCCTGTAACTGCTCAAGGTCAAGGGAAAAAATTTGAGTAAAAGAGAATTCTGATAATGGAAAACAAAAGCTTGTACAAATTTCTAAGTTAAGAATTAAACTTCAAATCCTTCTGGTGCCCGTGATTTATATGCCAGGGAAAGAGTGTGGTTAGACAAAGATATGAAGTAACAAGTATAAAGTAATGCCAATGGTTACCTGGTTCTTGAAAGAATTCACTTCACTCCGTGATTTCAATTGCTTCCCCAGAATGATTTCTAATAAAATTACTCCAAAGTCATACATGTCATCCTTACCCTCAAATTTTACCCTGCCATGACAAGATTGAAAGGAAGCAGCCTTGTGAAACACTGTATTTCAACATATTTCAATGTCTATAAACTTAATAAATAGCCTAAACTAGGAAAGGGTGAGCTTTGATGAAAGGAATGTGCTAATCATGTCACAATATGAAAGCCATGGACGACTGGATGTTATCACTTATTTTACAGGGAATATTTTTGGTCTTGTAAAAGTGAATTTTACCCTTAAACCAGCCATAACTGTGATCTGATAAATGCATTATGATTACCCTATTAGAAAAGCCATTGATATGTTAAACAACTTAAAAGTGGCATTCTGTTTAGCAATCTCAGTAACTGGTGTGCTATGGTATGCTAGCTATGCTATCATCCAAAGTGAGACATTACAGACCTGGAGCTGATACTAGGGTCCTTGGATCCAGTAGAAGTTCCATGACCATGACCATGACCAACCTGCGAGAATGAAGAATGCTGAATAGTAAATACCAAGTGTCTACTTCTAGAACAAAGGAAAGAAAAAACCAACAAAACAAAAACATTTCTTGTCTGTAGTTTGTACCTTTCCTGCACTCTCAGCTAACAAAGGCAAGTTATAACTGCTAATTTTTGCAACAAGGTTTTGGTCCAACAAAATATCAGTAATTTTGAGATTATTTGAATACACGCCAGGAACAATTCCTGAATGCAAAAATTGGATGCCTTTTGTTATCCCTATTGCAGCAGCTATACGTTGTGACCAAGCAAGCAATTGGCTGGCATGTCCTTCTGCAAATCATAATGTACAAGGCATGAAGCCAACCAAAACAAAGTTACAAAGACAAATGTTCAGGTCATTTAGGATGGATGAGCCACAGTGAATCGTGTAGTTCTTTATGCAATCTTATTTCTAATTTCATAAATCATTTCAGATGATCAAACATGATATGAAATGTCAGGGAAAGAGGAATATCCTTCAAAGGGATGGTTGACATGATTGGTCACCCCGTGAACAATGTAGCGTAATACAGGAGAGCATAGATGCAGAATTCATGTGGTGTGCCTTCTACATTCTTTGTCCTAAGAAACTAACAAAGGCTTTTATGAATTACCAGAGATCCAACTCCTTAAATTGCCATTTGGTACGTATTCGAAGATGAGGAATGTTCTGCTGACACTATAATCATCCAAGTAGCATTCAAAGCAGTGTCCCAGAGAACTGACTAAATGCCGATGTCTCAATTTTGAGATTAATTCTATATGGTGCATGAAGTTTTGAGTGCTGTGGCTTTTCTTCATTTTCAGGCATCTAATGGCCACAAAGGAACCATCTTTGAGCTGACCCTTATACATCTGAAACAATAAAAGAAACATGTTAACAGAATCTTGTAATGGAGAACTTGTTCGCAGAAAAATAGGGAACTGGCAAAACCTGCTCCAATATGAATGCTGGGATTAGATGTAGAGGTATTGAACCATTTTATATACCTGGCCTTGAGAGCCTTCACCCATGAAAGCAGATGTGTGGAAGTTGTTTGTAGCAATTTCAAGCTCTTCAACTGAAAAGGTTCGATAGGCTGGAAGGCCAAGTGCCCCTAGCTTCATTGTTTGAGATATATACCCTTCAAATGATCAGGATATAGTATGGTTAGATTTTCAAGTAATGAAACCTATAACACATCATACATTGCATTCATGATTTTTCTTGTGCTACTAAATAACAAGTAAGATGCTCAATAAATAGTGAAATAAACAGTATACAGGATGGTATCAAATTTAATATTTTGAGCTCAAAAACTCAAGTCATGTGACTCAGCTTCACTGGCGTTCAAGTCCATCTAAGGCCATCACCTTGCTGAAAAATAAATTCAGTGAATCTACGTGCTTTGGAATCTTTAGGACCCTATGCTCATCAAGATGAGAGAAGATATGAAAAATATGAGAGAAAGTGGTCTTACTTGCATCTGTAAGTAACTTTGAAGTGTACCCCGTTCCAGTTCCAGTTGATGCTTTCTCAGATATCAGTCGTGTGCTAGGTTTCTTGACTGTCCCCTTGGAGTTATATCTTCTAACAAATAGAAATATTAGACCAACAAGTAAAATTCCACCAACAATCCCTCCAGTTATGCCCAAGGCAAGAACTGCTTCGGCAAGTTGTTTCCTCTTCTTTCTTTGAGGTATGATTCCAACAGCTAAAGCTTCATTTCGACATAAGGAAAGTGGCTGTTGTTTTTCATTTCCATTTGCTAGACAATTCTGAGAATACAGAGCAATTCTGTGTTTAGCATTTGATAGAAGGCAGTTGGGAAGCTGGCCAGTCAAAAGATTTGAGGATAAATCTACAAACTCCAGGTCAGCATTGCAAGAGGTATTTTCGAAAAGCATCCCTGTGAGTTTGTTGTCTGCAATACTTAAATAAGTAATGGAAGGTAGGGATAACAATAACTGTGGGAATGGCCCAACAAATCTATTAAAAGAGAGATCCAACTGCTGCAGCTGATAATAGGAGCTAAGTTCAGCAGGAATGCCAGACCTAAACCTGTTCTTGCTCAGCACTAGAGTAACCAACTTGTTTCCAAGGAGGGGAAACCTAGGTCCAAAAGCATTATCTTCTACATCAAGCACTTGAAGATTTGTCAAGCTGGTAAAGTCTGGAACTTCCCCATAGAAGTAGTTATGTGAAAGAGAAAGAACTCTCAGATTCTCCAGATTTCTAAACGAGTCAGGCAATGACCCATTGAACAAATTTTTCCTCAAACTCAGAACAGTCAAAAGTTGAAATGAACCCATCCATTCTGGTAGCCTCCCAGAAAACATGTTATCATCAAGAATTAGTGCTTGAAGGCTGGATATTAACGAAAGCTCTTGTGGGATGGCACCATATAAGAGATTTGAAGTCATATTAAGTATTTCAAGTGTGGATAAACGAGCAATCTTACCAGGCAATGGCCCCCATAAACCCAGAGAAACCAATGTAAGGACTTTCAAGTTGGGAAGCTTAACTAGCGTTGTGACAAATGAGTCCATGGAAAAGTTTTTCGGTTGTAAATGTGTTCCATTACCGCCTATGATAAGCACCTGGGTTATATTGTCATCATAGCATACCACAGTTAAAGATGAAGTAGGCTCGGTATTGCAAAAATCTGTGCTGTTATTCCAGCTACTTAAAACAGCTGGATAATTCAAAAGTAGCTGGAGTCTCAAAAGGGTGTGAGCCTGAGATGATTGTAGTTGCTCTGAACAATTGATTGACAGTGAAACGATAACAAGAAACAAAGACACATAATGCCTGACTAATTTATCCATCAGAGACATGTAAAGAACCCACACTAGAAACGAGCAGCTTTGAATGACAAGAAAATGTTCTTAAGTTGTAGAGATACCATTAACAAGATGCACACAAGTCTTCAGTAGTACTTGCTAACATATGCAGATCGGAGATCGCAGAACCAGCGCCATGAAGCATGTTGAAACTTTTACTTTTCAGAAACTCAAGTTCCCAAATCATCTCAAGGAAGAAGGAAGCTCTGCAAACATTAAAGTAATATTGATATCAACACAAATCACAATGGACAAAGAACCCAGATAGTAGAATTTAGAATTACTGGCTTATTTATCCATAAAAGAAGAGAACATGTATAACCATTAAATGAACACTCAAGAAAATCGAATGTACACCTTGATACACATGCATGTCTTACATAGATTATCAGCATAACACTTATAGTGTTCTCAGTTCAATATTTCTTGATATCAGGAAGGAACAGCAATGAGGATGCAGAAAGTTACCTCTTGATATTGCAGACTGAACGAACTCAACTCCCTTTATTTGCTATGTAAACAGCTTCTCTTCTTCTAAACAATCTTCAAAGGCGGAAGCAAACAAAGTAGAGACTCATGAAAACCTAAGATTCTAACACAAGACCAACATAAAAAGCAACAATTATGACTTTAAAATGAAGAAATCCCCTGCTAAACTCCAAAGAAGTGCTCCAAACAAGAAGAAACCTTCCCAAGTGAGTCAAGACCCACTTTCAAATTCTGCACTTTAGTAACTTGCATTTCACACGCCAACCACCCCAAAACGCCAACCACATATCCACTTCAATCTGTTACCCCTTCCCAAAGAAAAACCCAAAAACCTCTTAGCCATACATTCAGAAACTCTCAATGACACACAGCAAGGTTTCATCTTTCTTTACACAAACAAAGACAAGCTAGTGACACGGGTTCAAAGTAACAGACCCTGAAAATCACACAAACCGACATTTCCCATTTCTTTCCCAGGAAAATAATAATAATAATAATAATAAGTAAATAAATTTCTCATATCTGCCCTGCAGCATAAGTGCTTCTTGTGGAGAGTCTAAAGCAAAAGGCACAGCGAGAGTGGAAAAAGAAAGCAAAAGAGAAAGATTCTTTCAGAAAGAACCCTTTATTCCTCCAAATGCATAAGTTTAGATTACAAAACTGCCAATTTGTAGTTTCATCACATTTGAATTGCATAAAGAAGAGGTGGGATTGTATGTTTGTATGAATGTGTCTAAGGGAAAAAGTGGGGCATGGTACTTTAGTACAGTCTGGAACGTAAGCCTTCACTTTCTGGGTCTGGTAAGCTTTGGCTTTCCATGGTCTTTGTCACTTTAGGCTGAGACCCCACACCACATTCACTCTTTTAGTCTTTTTCTTCTGTCTCTCAGTGCAATTATTCTGAATTCTGAAGACTCTTAATGGTAAATTTCTTCTTTCATTTGAAATTCGGTTTGTTTCAATTATTACAGGGCAGAATAGCAATTGCGTCATCCTCTCGTTTTAACAGAGTTCTGTTTTTCTTGGAAGAAAAAGCCTCTACATTTAGGCGTGTTTGGTTACCATGAGCAGTGCTACGGGCAGTCGCCCATTTGCACTCTCTTTAGCACACGCGGGTTCATAGAGACATGTGGCAACCACATTTACAAAAAATTACATTTAGACCGGGGACAGGGAAATAGGAGTAGCTGTAGCAGTAAACTTTTGGAATAATGACAGAGGAAACGATTTTATGAGATAATAATAAAAGATGGTTAGGTGTAACAAGGTTAAGATGTATGATACAAAATAGTTAATTTCATTTTATAACATTTATCGTTTTTTGTTTTTGTCTCATAAAATTGTTTCCTCTATTGTTATCGAGATCTATTGTTATAGAGACCTTTATGTTTTGGTTTTTTTCGTCGCAATCCTACATCGTTAATTTCCTTTGTTAAAATAATATTCTTTAAATTTCCATCGTTGTCTATTCATTTTCCATTCTTATCTCTCCACCGTTTCTTTCATTAATAATGACAAAAAGAACAAATTTTATAGGACTAAATTTTAAAATTAATAACATAATATAAATGATATTATTTAAAATATTAAAATATAAATTATATATTATTTAATAATTAATTAAAAATATATATTAGTTTCGATTCTTAAAAATAATTAAAATTTTAACATTAAATTACATCGTTTTATTTAATTAAAAATCAATTCAAAATTTAAAAAATTATCTTATTAAATGTTGATATGTTAAAATATATAATGTGTTTTCAAATCTAGATATCAATATTTAATAAGATAAAATTTTAATTTTTAAATATAAAATAGGACTCTAATTATTTTTTAAGGTCATCATGATTGATACACATTAACCTTTAATTAATTTATTTTATTTATTAAAATTCATAATATTATATATCAGTTCATTTAATCATATAAGTTATATCATATTATTAATTTCAAAATTTTCATCCTCTATATCCTTACTTATTTTTGATTTTTTTTAGCAATTCTTATCTCTTAATTTGTACCACCTGTATTTAATTTTATACTATGTTTGAATTGAGGAGAATAGGGAAAAAAATTCTTTATTTGATTATCAAAAAAATTAGAAAGGAGATGAGGAAAATGTTTTCTTTATTTTATTTTTTCTTTAAATTTAGTTATTTATTCAAATAAGGAGAGGAAATGAAGGGGAATAGAAGAGATAATTCTCCTCTTTTCCCTTCTATTTTAATTCATTTCTTTCAACCCAAATATAAGGTTAACGATATTAATTTAACTTTCCTACATTAACTTTAAATAAAAATTTAATATGGTAGCTTATAAAAGATAATTGATATTTTTGTTATTGAATGAAACTACTTAACAAAAATGATATAAGGAAAAAAGCAAATTTTTAGTTTTCATTTATATGTTTTTGTTAATTTTTTATTTAAAATTTAATTATTTAAAATTAAAAAATTAAATAGAAGTATTAAAATTAAAAGAGAGGAATATAAAATAAATATAAACACTAATTTTATTTTCAATACTAATGATATGTGTATAATTTTAATTAGTTGTTGATGAAATTAAAATCAATTTTTATTTTTTTTACAACAATTACTGCTTCCTTTATTTAATTTTAGTGAACCTAGTTTTTTTGTACAATAAAATTAGAATGTAATATTTAATTGGTAAAATTTTATATTTATTTCTAATTAATCAATATTTAAATAATACTTTTTATTTGATATATATTATAATAATCTTTTTAAAATAAAGTGAAATAGAAATAAATACATCAAATAATATTTTTAAAAAATAAAAATCATAATTTAAACGCTTTAAATTAGAATTAAGTGTATATAACTTAATTGAAAATGTATTATAAGGAAAGAGTGCAATTAATGCACCTTAATTTCTGGTATACGTTAAAAAAACTTATAAAACATTCTATTCCTTAAACGAAAAAAGTACTTGTTGTGGAAAATATTAAATTTAAATTTAATTTTATTAATTACTTAATTAAAATCTTATATGCACTTTGGCCTTTGGGCCTAGTGGCGTTAGGTCACGTATAAGTGTATTTTCCCACCCCAGAGCAACGGTTTGAATCCGATTTTATGTGAATTTGTTCAAAAAAAAATTTAAAATCTTATACATATTATTAATATGAAAATAAAGTTTTTTTTTTGCAAATTAATAATAAAAATGTGATTTAAAGAGTTGTGATTTAATTGATAAAATAGTTTGTCCTCTACCTTATTAATTAAGATTCAATTACATAAAAAAGTAATTTTTCATCAATTTCTTAATTTTAACATGATAATTACTGTAAATGTTAAATCAAAGAAAGAAAAAAGTAAAATTAATACTCCCTTAAAAGGTCGATTAGACAATCTTAGGAATAAATTTAAAAATTTTTTGATTAGACAATCTTAGGAATAAATTTTAAAATTTTTTTATTAGACAATCTTAGGAATAAATTTAAAAATTTTTTAACTTATATTTTTAGAGAATAAGGTATATTTATTATTTTTTTATTAATTTGTGAAAAAAATAAAAGAAGAATTATTTTATTTTCAACAACAATGTCATTTAAATAATCTTAATAGAGTGATTGATAAAATAATACTCCTAGTATATTTTTAATTTTTTATAATAATAATTAAAAAATTATTAAATATACCTTTGCAGCAAAAAAAAAAAAAAAACTCTAAACGTAAATGAAAAAGTTGAAGTTAAAGTAACCGGTTTAAAGCCGGTTGCCAATTGAAGCGTCACTCCATATTGCCCCACGTCACCGATACAGCAACAAGTGTAAAAGAGAGTGCAGATGGGCGACTGCCCATAGCATTGCTCGGTTACCATATATCCTAAAAAAAATAATTTGAGGAAGTCGTACTTTTGGAAGTTATGGCTTGATTAGGAAAAATTATTTTTTAACATAAAATTTATTGTAAAATGTAATTGATGAAATGTCCAGCACTTGTTGATCAAATGATCACTTCTTGTGGATGTACTTAGGATTAGAGAACCTGGATCAAATCTTAAGTCTTTTATTTTCCCTTCTTCAAAAAAAAAATTTCATACTGTTTAAAAAAAAATGTAATTGATTAAATTGATATATATAATTAATTATATTATTTTTAAATTAGAATAAATTATTAAACTCTAGGAAGTAAACTTTTTTAATTTTATATTTTATTGGTGAATGCTTTATGAACAATTATAACTGATTATATTATTTATAAGAATTTTTATCAATTTATAATAATTGAGTTTTTTTTGTTAAAACTTGTGTAAAAAAAATATACAAATCCTAAATCAAGCCAAACTATATAATGCATACGATTTCTCTAGAAATACTTTTTGAGAGAGAGGATATCAAACATGCCTTGTTTTTTTAGACACCAAAATTAAGTTTTTTCGTTTCTTTAAATGGATTGCTTATAATCACTTTTTTATTTTTTTATAAGTTTAAATTTTTTTAAAAGAAAATGTTACCTCCTTAATCCAATTTGAGTTGGTCTATTTTTTTAATACAATAAATATAATAATTAATTAATAAAAATTTTATATTTATTCTTAATTAATTCCCACTTAAATAAATTAAACATTCTTATTCCATTCAACAAATTCTTATTGTACCCTAAACTTTCAATTCAACTGGACTCCCCGTGTTGCATGAAATGGTTGACAAATTGGAATAAATTTTTTTCCAAATAAGCAATTGCAATATGCCAAGCAAGGAGAACTCAGCCACAGGCTGTGGGATGTCTGGTTTTATTAAAAAAAAAAA